TGCCGCTTGAAGATAGCGCCCGCTCAAACTGGGATGAACCCAGATTTTAGTGTGTTGCAATAGTACGCCTCCAGACTAAGGGAACAGTGAAATTCGCAGCAAAAATGCGTCTTAGGAGGCCTCAAACTCGTCTCGAAAGTCTTCCGCACCCCGCTCCTTTCCAAGCTCCGCCCACGCCTGACTGAACACTCAAGCCTGAGGTTTCCTTCATCCTACGCCATAGGCCCTGTGGCAAACTTGCCGCGTAGTATGATGGAACCCTTAAGCTTGGATGTTCAGTTAGGCGGTGGGGAGCCTGGAAAGAGGCGGGATCCGTAAGACTTTCGAGACGAATTTTAGGCTTCGCAAGCACGCTTTTTCTCTGCGGACTTCACTGTTCGCTTAGTTTGGAGGCCTAATATCGTAACGCAGTGAGATCTAGGTACATCCCAGTTCGAGGGGACGCTGCCTTTGAGCAGTGTCATTGGTCTCCCAAAATTGTTTGCACGTGCGATTTTGTGTGTTGTCTGAAAGAAATAAAGCCTGCTTTTCCAAACCCCAGGGAGAGGCAGCCCAAAAGCACCAAGAGCCTGCGAATGTTGCTATAAAATGTCTTGGGTGCCACAGCCCCACGGCTCGGACCCTAACGTCGCTCGCTCAGATTAGTCAACCGATCTTCCACTTTCTTTTTCACATCACCGTGTCCACAAAACGACTTTCTTCCTTTACTTTTTTTACTAGGACTCAAGGATAATTCTGTACCAAAGTTCATGCGATAACCATTCATTTCAAAATGCAAAAATTTCTTCATAACGATATTCAATGTTGTACAAGCAGATGCATGCAATTATATCAAATGAACAAAGTAACAACTATAAACAACCTAACGACTACTAACCTAATGGAGTTCAATATTAACAAGTGCTCAAGAAAACAAAAACTATATATGCAACAGACCTTTACTTATTATTCTCAGCATCCTCAAATGCTTTGGCAGCTGGATTGTCCTTGGGCGAGTGCGAATAATCTGGTTTCAATCGCTTCTCTGCCAGTTCGCCATATGGGTTAAATCCAAGCCGTTCCATTTCAGCCTTCATAAGCTTCTTCTTGTTTTTAGGGTTCTATAATGCAAACATATTAAACTTACAAAACTATGAAAACATTCCATCATACCTTTTCTTCATCTGTTTGAGGAGGTAGCAGTTCAGTGAAGACGCCTGTTCCGGTCGTGGTTGTACCTTGACGTATCGTAAATCGTTGTTGAGGTTCAATAAACATTTTCTGGTTTAGACGTATCTCGACTCTAAAAATCATTACAGTATACTTCTGAAAAAAAACTCAAAGACAGTGTCCCGGCAGAATTTCATGTTCCAGTTTTTCACCTTTCCGGAGCCTTCCCGCCATGAAGAACCCATATCTGCGCTTTTCAAAGCATAAAAATGACGAAAGTGAGCTTTTCTTGAAGCTTTCCAAGTTCGCATTCAGTAGAAAATACGCGTAAGTGGGCGGAGTTTGAAAGGAGGGGGGAGGGGGGCGCGGAAGACTTCGCGTATTTGTATCAGATGCGGACCTGGAAAGCTTTGAAAAAAGCCCAATTTCGCCATTTTCATGCGCCTAAAGCACAGATATGGGTTCCCATGGCGAGAAGGTTACGGAAAAAGGAAAAATGGAGAACGAAATTCTGCCGGAATATGGATTTAAGTAAGTAAAACACATACTCGGCTGCCTCTCCTGGCATAACAAAATCTTTTCCGATAATTTTGAGCAATCCTGAGGCATCCCAAGTGAGCGAAAATACATGTTCGGTAAAGTAGTTAGCAATGGGTGTCTTCGAACCGCCTTCGGTTGGCTTGAGAACGTAAAGCTAAACAGAAAGGTAACATCAAAACTAGAATTAGAGTACCCCAAGAAAAAATAAAAGGAGAACAAAGAACAGCTGCTCAAATACAGAATTTCAATATCTCAAAGACTCTTAAACATGCCTGAGCTTTGACTTTGTCAGTTGCCTTATGTTTGTGTCCTTGAGGAAGAAGAACGCAGCCTCTTCGAACATCTTTTGGTCCCAAACCTCTCAGTAGTACACCTAGTTGATCTCCAGGTTCTGCTTGTTCGACGGTTTTGCGGAACGACTCAAGACCTAAAAAATTACGTTCTCTATGACAACAACAATTTCGAAAGTACTGTGTGCTGGAAAACTCACCAGATACAACAGACTTCAAATTTTCCCTATCA